TGTGTACAACTATAATCATGTTTTATGTTTGTGTACAACTAGAACCACGTTTTATGTTTGTGTACAACTAGAACCACGTTTTATGTTTGTGTACAACTAGAACCACGTTTTATGTTTGTGTTACAACTAGAATCATATTTTATGTTTGTGTAGTTTTTAAGGGCATAAAGCCATTCTTAATAATTTTAATTGAAGGACTGCTAAGCATTTTAAGATTTTATTAAAAACTGTATTTATTTTCTTTCAAAATATGGCCTTACGGGTGTGGCCTAGTATTTAGTGTTCCCGGACTGCGAATCTGAGGGTCCGTGGTTCGCGTCCTATTGCCGCAAGAATTCGCTCAGCACATTGGGACTACGGTCGCACTAAAAGCATGATAATGAAACTGCACAATTCAATTAAACAAAAGTAGCGCAAAAGTTGGCGGTTGGTGCTTTCTTTTTTAGGGGTGACCCTGCGCAAAGAGCCTTAGTGTAGTTTTGTGAGAAAATTCTAAACTAACAAACAGAAAATTTATCTCTCTTTAGAAACAGATAATCTTTGTCATTCTGAGTTAAATCAATTGTCTGTGTAAGGAAGAAGCCCAGAATTTCACGTCTGTTGTGTTGTAAAGATCAACAAAAAAAACAAAAACATTTCTACAAAACTGAAAAAATAAACCGAAGTATCATTCACTTGTTGGCAAAACTACACACGGATCGAACCCCAACCTTTATCGTTATAAACATTCAAGTTTAGCACTTAGCCACCGGGGAGCTAAATTATTTATGAAATTCACATTGCACGAGTCTCTCTCTCTTCTGGCTATGATTGTGATAATACCTGCTACAAATAACCCCACGAAGAGCTCCCTCTACAAAATCGAACGGTCTAATGTATAGTTGAGTCTTCTCCACAAGACTACGAAACACGATCAACAGACATGACTCGTTATCCGATCAGTAGCGGTCTTCCTTATCAAAACACACAAGAAAACAGAGTAGTATCATATCTCGCGCGGTTGCCACGTGCTTATCTTGTGACGTAGCAAAGACTCATCGCTAAGCTAAGCCTTACGTAGTTGGTTAATACCTTGTGAAGAGCATTCTAACCAAGAGTAGTAAAGAAATATTTTTCTTCATCTGTATATACATCACCATTATCTAATAATTACAAAAATAATAATGATAACAGGCACGCTTGTTGATATCATCAAATAATTGAAAGTAAGATATAAGTAAATACGATCAACTGTTGTAATCAGGGACGTCATTTGTGAGGGTAAACAGGGGAGTACGCCCCCTCCCACAAAATCGAAAGGGCCCTCAAATGGCAGTTTCTGTGAGACATTTTTTAGTCTGGCCGGATTAACTCAAACTACATGAGGTTAGTCTTCTTTGCCCCCTCCAAAGTCCAACGATCCTGGTTGTAATACATGCGTGAAGCAGATACAAAGTTAGTGGACTTTCAAGTTTGCTCTTTAAGGCAACATTCCAAAACTACTGTTGTATACCTGATAATACCGGAATTTTTCACTACAATAAGTAGGCTTAACGACCACTTCAGAGATCCTAAGGTTTGAGAATAGCCATCCCTAATTTTCAACTATTGACCAATGAGAATGAAGTCAGACAGCAGTACTTCAAGGGCTTTGTCTGGCTCTTTGAACTGAATAAAATGCTGGTTTACTGGCATCACGTCTCGAACCCCAGACGCTTCAATTCGAAGCCAGACACGTTAACCATTAGGCCCGTTCTGTGTTGTTGTTTTAATATGTCCTATACGTATTGTTGTTTTATATATGTCTTATACGTTCTGCGTTGTTTATATATATATGTACTATACGTTCTGTGTTGCTGTTGTTGTTTTATATGTCCTATACGTTCTGCGTTGTTTATATATATATATGTACTATACGTTCTGCGTTGTTTATATATATGTACTATACGTTCTGTGCTGTTGTTTCTATATGTCCTATACGTTCTGCGTTGTTTATATATATATGTACTATACGTTCTGTGCTGTTGTTTTATATGTCATATACGTTCTGTGTTGTTGTTTCTATATGTCCTATACATTCTGTGTTGTTATTTTTATATATGTCTTACACGTTCTGTGTTGTTGTTTTTATATATGTCCTATACGTTTTGTATTGTTGTTTTTATATGTCCTATACGTTCTGTGTTGTTGTTTTTATATGTTCTATACGTTCTGCGTTGTTTATATATATATGTACTATACGTTCTGTGTTGCTGTTGTTTATATATATATGTACTATACGTTCTGTGCTGTTGTTTTATATGTCCTATACGTTCT